CCCTGCCGCTGCCCGTACCTTTTTGAGGCCTCGCTGGATGCTGCAGTTCTTGCAGGAGACCACCTTGCAGTCCCAGTGCTCAGAGGCCCCGCAGGTCAGGCAGAGGTCCGGGTCACACTCTCGCACAGCCAGGTAGCACGGGCACTGCTTGGTGTTGCACTGGGTTTTACAGCGGCAGCCTGGGAAGCGGTTCTGACCTGTAGCAACACAGCCCACAGGTTTGCACCGTGGGGTTTTTTCAGAGAATAGAGGGCCCAGACGGTGTCACTGCCCCACCAAAGCTTCTCCCCAGCTGGATCTCGCCCTGGGCACCTACAGAACTAAACCCATCTGTGACCAGGGGCCACCCTGCCTGCTCACCACCCCGCTAACATAAGGAAAGTGTCTGTGCTAATAAAGAGCTCTACGCCCACATTGCTCCGGGCAGCAGAGACAGGAGCCCCCAGCCCATCTCCTTGCCCCCTAAGGACACCAGGACAGCGCTCACAGGGCCGCGAGGGGACAGGGCGAGCAGGAGGCAGCCGGGGCTGGCAGCAAATCACAGAAACACTCTGCCTGCACGTGAGCGCTGCGCACAGAGCAGAGCACGGACCGTGCACAGGGTCCTTCCTGTCTGCATGGCTGGAGATGCCAATCTGCCTCTTGGGACTAATTATGTGCAGTTTGAAAATAAACCACTCGGACAATATAAACATAACGGATCAGTACAGAGAATCCTGGAGCCTCAGTTGGCTGTCATCCTGCGGTGCTTCCAGCTGCAAGCTGCGTTAGCAAACCCACCCATGGAAGCATGCTCTAACGCAAGCACATATCTCAGCTGCTAACATGGGAGAGTTAGATAAAGCCCGCCTTTGGACTTTAGCAGAGCTCCAACCAAAACGCTGCACGGAGGCAGAACAGTGAATGTAAGAGTAAAGCAGGCCTCCAGCAAGCACCCTCCCCTGGTGTGTGCCAGGAAAGCAGGCAGCTTTCCTGCCCAACAGCCCGAGGTTTCTGCTTACAGTCAGGATTGCACTGGCAGAACTTCTCACAGAAATTCTGAGTCATGATGCAAGGGCAGGAGCTGTCACAGGGATGCTCGGGGTGGTCACAGGGCTGGTAGTTGTAAACCTGTGTCGGTGAGTTATCTAGAAAAAGAGGAGAAACACGCAGATTAGAAGCTGCACATTGCAGAAATGTTTCAAAGCAGCACACCCAGGGCTCTGCTCTCAGCCTCATCCTCCTCCTCTGGCTGCAGCAAGGCCGCACCATGCGTACAGCCACACAGAGTGTTGGCACCGTGGTGATTCCCATGGCACAGCAGCAGCGGGGCCAGCCCACAGCACCCCAAGGAGTCTGGAGGTGGGAGCTACTTCCCCATCACTGCCGCGCTGGAGAGCAGGACGTGGCTATCCCGTGATGGGAGCCGGAGAGCTCGGTCCCACGGGTGAACGAAAAAAAGGCAGCACAGGAAACGCTACCTTTCTTCAGCTGGATCTTCCTGCAGTGCGCGGCCCACAACCTGGAAGAGAAGCAGAGAGGGGCTGAGAGGACGCGCAAACCTTGTCAGGAGGGGCCAAGCCAGGGTTGCGCAGCACCAGGAGACTCGTCCCAGCGAGGCTGCCTGGCAGCTTCATCCGTTAGTGACCATCATAAAAAAGCAGAGAAATATAAGCACGATGCAGCTACAGCAGAAGTTATTTAGGGGAAATGCTAGAGCCAGAGTAATACCAGACACACTGGGATCAGCACACAAGAAGTAGATGATAAGCCAAGTTGCTGAGGCTGACGTTGCCGTGAGGACACGGTACCGGCCCTCCCGCAGCAGTGTGGTGCTACGGCCGGCTCCCGCGGGGCTGAG